CCTCGGGGAGGTGGCGGGGGGGTACTTAAGGTGCCCGGTAATTGAGGGGTTTACCGTAGTCAGGCCTGAACATTTCCTTCTTCCGTGTTGAAGGAAATAAATGCTTTCTTTTAAGGGCGGAAGGAGCCTGACTTTTGGAAAGTTCTGATACAGCCCTTTTATGAATTGGGAAACTGAGGCCTGGGAGGGAAAGCAAACTGCCCAGGTTTTGGTAGCCAGTCCACGTTCTCCCATCACTTTCTTGTGGGCTCTGTGGCTGCTTTCTCTGTGGACTACCTTCCTTTTCTGTCTCCTCCTCCTCGGAGACTAGCAAAATGTATATATGGGTGAGAGCACCCAGCATCGTGATCCAGGCCCTTTTTTAAAACCTTGGCCTAAACCTTGCACTAAGCAATTGTAATTTGTGTTGTCTTGTTCCCAGAAAGAGAATTAGTCGTGGATTTAAAAGATACTGGAAATTCCTTGTGACTTGGCTACAGAAACAAAGAACAAAAGCAATTATTTAAGCAATTTTGGCCTAATGCTTTTACTTATGTATTGACTTATCTGGGACGTTTGGATAGGGAGGCAGGAATGGGCAGGGGGTGTGGGTGGCACACCTGTGCCTCTGTGTGGTCTGTACACAGCCAAAGGGGACCCAAAGAAAGTCGTCATTTCATTCTGTCAAGGTGATTGAGATCATGGCTGTTTCTAATGGCTGTGTGACACCAGCAAATAGTATCTAATATTTGTTCAAACCTAACAATAATAGCAGGCCTAAAATTGAGTTCTTACTGTCTGTAGGCACCCTACTAGGTGTTTCATAAACTCTTCACTTCATCCTCACCACAACCTTGTAATTACCTCCATTTCACAGTTGTGGAAACTGAGTCAGGATAGGTTAAGTAGCTTACACAAGGTCACATAGCTAGGAAGCTACAGAAACAAGATTGGAACCAAACCAGTCAACTGCCCATTTTTTTTTTTCTTTCTTTTTCCTAGTGTTACTGTCTCCCACTATAACAAGCAAGCTTCTTATATGGTTCCCGTCAGAAAAACTCAAGATTCACATTTAATTTAGCCCTTTCAGAAGAGACTACAAAAAATAAATTATTTATTTTATTTATTATTTTATTTTAAAGGTGTGGGGTACAATTCAGGGTTAGGTATACAAATGGTTATTGTGTAGGTAAAGTTTGGGCCTCGCTTTGGTCCCCCCAAAAAAGAAATTCTAGTTGACATGAGATTGGTAACATACCTTACTCTTTGACTTCAAAACATCTGCTTGAGATAATATAGAACAATATTGATGTTGCAGGGATTCAGAAAATGGTACATTCATCCTCACACATGTCCATCACTTGGAAAAGCAGTACTTTGTGTCTGTCATTAAAAAAAAGTTCCAATGTCAACACAAAAACCATTTTCCAGCAGTTAGAATAGCTGTAGGATGTCTAACAGCACATAAGTACATATGAAGTCAGCTCTGCTGGGGAAAATCATACATCTTGGATCAAATTAGTCTTCCAATATGTTCTTTTTGATATTCTCCCTGTAATTCAGATTTTTTAGCATGGCAAGCAAAAAAGTCATGATCATTCCATCTTCAGACCTAAACAGTGCCTGTCATGTCCGTTAAAATAAGAGAAAGGGGAGGAAGAGCAGTATGGAAGTGAGGGTGGGAGTGGAGAATGGTCCATTACCTTGCCCAGAAGGCTTCTAGAATCTATGGCTATTCCTAATGTACTCTTACTGTTGCTTTGGTTTTGTTTGTTTGTTTTTATCTTTTGCTTTTAGTTCACTGAGTTTAAAACTTCTTCCAGGACTGGGTTCAATGGCTAACATCTGTAATCCCAGCACTTTGGGAGGCCCAAGTGGAAGGATGCTTGAGCCCAGGAGTTTGAGGCCAGCCTGGGCTACGTAGTGAGACTTTGTCTCTAAAAAGAAGTCAGAAATTCAGCCAGGTGTGGCAACGTGTACCTGTAGTCCCAGTTATTTGAGAGGCTGGCGTGGAAGGATCACCTGAGCCCAGGCGTTTGAGGCTGTGGTGAGCTGTGACTATGCCATCGCACCCCGACCTGGGTAACAGAGTGAGACCTGGACTCAAAAAAAAAAGAGTTCTTCCAGAGGACAAGAAGCAGAATACTATCCAGTACCCACTTATTCCGAAGATTCGTTTAAAGAAAGATATTTTGTTCCTGTAATTAATTTGCTCATGAAAACAGCATCATAGATGGTAGCTTCCTAGACCTGCCCAGAAAAGCCTGCAGAAGCTTCCCGATTTCTGAATCAACAGACTAGTGATCCCCCTCTGGATCCTGGGAAGGAGATGCCAAGGAGACAGGTGACAGTTCCCTCCACATCTTGTCTTAGGCATAAACCCTGACGTAGACTTGTCCATGAGTTTTACAGAAACAAGTTACACTCCTGCAGAATTGCCTGGTGTTCATGCCTTCTGGGTTGCTTTGTTTAAGAAGTAAGCAAGCTCTTGTTGAAAATGTCTCCTAGGAGACTAAGAGAATGTATATATGAATGCGAGAACCCAGCTTCATGATCCAGGCACTTTTTAAAAACCTTGCCTTCATAACTTCTCAATTCACACAAAAACCCATGAGGAAGATACTGAAATACTCCCTACTTTGCATGTGAGGAAACTGAGGCACTGAGAGACTACCTTATTAGTCAAAGGTTACAGAGTAATAGGAAACAGAACCAAGAGTTCATCCAGGCAGACCAGCTCTAGAGGAGGGATTCTTGACCTTGGTGTTACTGACATTTTGGTCAGTAATTCTTCATGTGGGAAACTGCCTTGTGCATTGTATTATGTTTAACACCATCCCTGGCCACCACCAAGAGATACCAGTAGTGTTTACACCCCAGTTTGTGACAGTCTAATATGTCTCCAGATATTACTGAATTTCTCCTGGAGTTACCCTCCACCCCAGCTTTTAACCTCACATTATCCTGCATTTAGGTAGCACCATAGCTCAAGAGTAGGTGCTGGACATTGTAGGGGTCCACTAAAAAGGCCCAAATGGGTCCTGTGAACACTACCCACATTTTAGGCAACCTAAAGAGAAGACTGGAAATATAAGGGAAATATGTGGAAGTAGAGAATTTGGGGGAATAGCAGATTATCAGTCTACTGGAGATTTCTGTAGCATGACCCACCCCCAAGCCAAGAGATACCAACCCCAGAGCCCATGCAGAGAGCTTTGGGGGCCTCTGCAGGAAGGTATCTGAATGGCTGCTGCTGACCAGTGGGATCTACTGGTCTATTCTAGGGCTGCCGTCAGAGAAGATCCCACTGTGATTAGAAAGTTCTTGCACCCCTGAGATGTGGCCCTGGGGGTGGGATGTGAACGGAGACAAGTGACTACTTCTTGCTAGAAGATTCCTGCAAAAGGAGCTGGCTGGTGGCCTCAGAACATCCCTCACACAACTCCGAGGCAAGAAGGTGATATGGGGCAGCCTGCTGTAACACAGATTGTGTGTCAAGGACCCTTGAGTATCCTTTGGGCTGAGCGGTTGCTGTGGAAAGTAGTCAGGCTTGGACCATCTGGAAGTTACCCTGCCAGGGAGAGGGCATGGCAGGTGAGGTGATGGTGTCTGCTGGCCCAGACAAGAAAGGAGACACAGGGTCACATTCAGCCTGACAGAGATCTCAAGGTTAACTTCAATAAACCCAGTAGATGGACCTTCAAAATTACCTTCCCCTTGCCAACTAAAGAAAAAAATCAGGCTTTTCAGGAATTAAAGTTAGTTTCATTTGGAGTCTTACTGAGAACTGCAACCAAGCAGTGTCTTTCAGTGAGTTTCTGTTAGACTTTCCCAAAGCA